ATCTGTGAGAGTGAGGATGTAGGAGATAGTAGAGGTCTCGTAGTCCAAGCAGAGGCGAGACAGCAGCAACAGAAGGGCCGGAGGAGTCGAACCTCCCTTGTCTCCTGCACTGTCGCAAAACTGCCGAGAAGACTGGCACACAAACTTTATGAAGCTCACCACCAGGCTCTCACGTACACCCTGGCTGCAGAATTCACCCTATGAGGAGAAGACAGACAGGAACAGCTGTCACTCTCCCTTTCGGGGCAGAGTGGAAAACGATTTTCTGGGACAAGCTGTTACCGGCAAATAAACAAGAAAAACTATTCACCTTAAAGTACGGCTTGTTGGAGAATGCAATGTCCTTGGCTGTGAAGAGATGCACCGACGCCAACACTGACTTAATCTGATTGAGGATCGAGGCTGACAGGGAGGAGAGCAGCTCTGGCAGGCTGGTCGGAGCATCTCTGCCGGAGGCCGGTCCCCCTAGAAGAGCTCCGCCTCCGGCCAATGAGGCGCCGGCCATAGAGAGCCGAGGTGTCGCCAGGGCCTGCCGCACGTCCGTCAAGCTGTCCATGTAGAAGCTCTGCAGGGCGGACAGGTACTGCTTGACTCGCTCTGTTGCGGCCCGTATCACAATCTCAGTCCCCTGGTTAGGCACGGCAGAGCCCGGCAGCAGTTTGGTTACAGCCTGAAGTCTGCGGTGGAAGCGGTCGAGTGCGCGGACCAGGAGGGAGTTATCTCCGACCCCTTTCTCCTCTTGAATCCTCCGCTCCACGAGCGAGAAATAGCGAGCAGCCAGATCATCCACAAAGGCATTCAACTTACCATTCGCCATCTGGGGAATGTTTTTGGATGCAAGCTCGCCTGTCTGAGCGTGGTTGATGAACAGTTCTTGATAGGACGTTATTACTAAACACAAGCTGCTGACAAATTCATTGCAGCCCCTGTCAATGAATTCCAGGATGTCAGTGTTTGAGGTGGGAGAAGGGAATGCGCTCATTTTAGGGGTGTTATCAGCTGAGGCCGACGCCAACCTGCATGCAGAAGCATCTTTCGCGGCTGAGGCGGACGGGTATGGTCTTATCTCTGCTTCCAGACCTTGGAGGTCCGACTCTAGCCGAGACCGCGCATGGCTCAGGAATTTATCACAGAGCTCCTCGGCCGGCTCGTCCAACTGTAGCAGCAGCTCCACACACTCGGATAAATCTTTAGCGCTTGACCCACCATCCCTGTGAGACAACAACAAAGCGGTAGAAATGGTTGATGGACAGCAAATACATTTATCTTTAAACATTTTGAAATTCAATATGGAAAAATGATTTTGCACAGGCAAGTACAACATTCAATAATGACAAAACATCTGAAATAGTTTTTATTTGATTTACTTTTTGAGCAGCATGAACATCTGCCACATACAAACTAGCAAATTGGGAATTTTAGTTTGAGTGAAATTAGGGAAAAATAATGGAAACAGTCTGAAAGAAGTTTGAACAAAAGAGGATTTGTCATTTTGATGGTTCATAAAATCACCTTTGTTGTGAGCAATAAGCGTGACTCTTTAGTGTTACGTTTCCTCAGAGTGGAGCCCATATTGTGAATGCAGGTTTAGAGATTCCCACCTGAACTTCTGTCGGAGCTCCTGTGCCAGTTTATCCATGATGGCGTGACAGTCGTCCTGAATCCCCTTGAAGGAGGGCAGGTGGCTGTACTGCTGCAGCACACACCGGGCACGGCGGTGGGATCTCACCGCCTGAGCGTAGGCCTGCAGCTCCAGACACTTATTTAATCTGGCAGGCAGTTCAAACAGAAACTGCAGCTTCCTTAACAGAGTGTGAACCCCTAGGGTGGAAAATGACAAGACAAAAATATGGAAATAAATCACCTTGAAGTCACCAAGACCAACACAAAACAAACTCCCAGTTTAGGTCTCACCTGAGAGTTTTGTTATCTGCGCGTGCTGGTCCTGTAGAGTACCACTGATGCAAGCACTGAACTCTGTGATTGCCGCCATGTTGGCAGACAAGCCATCCATTTCATCCTCCATCTTTTTGAAATCATTCTTCATCTTTCTTATGGTGTCTGAAAAAAACCAAAAAAAAAAACATGCAAAAATGGTTCGGCGTTCCACACGTGGACAATGCAACTAAATCCAACAACGTTTCAACAGTAACTTAACAGTGAGCGAGATGTTGCCTCACCTGTAGCAGATATGAACTTGTTGTAGTTTTCATACACCAGCGTCTGCATGTCACTGTCCAAAGAGCGGATCTGCTTGACCATGCAGGTCTCCTGGTCCATCAACTCCGCAAGGGAGCACTCCCTCCTAAGCTGCAGTTGGAGACAAAAGCCACAATGGTCACAATTACACTTAACAGCATATATCAAATATCAAGGAAGCAGCTTTTCTTCATAACTAATTTAACCAAATCAGAATTAAATGATCATCCACCGATCACTACCTTTCAACCACAAGAACATAATGCAGTGTGTGTATAGAACTTCAGTCACAGTGCGTTTACTGGTTATTAGGTGTATTATGTGATGAAAACGTCCAGTCCACTTCTTTCTGTGCCGTTTCTATGAGATGTAAAGCATAATATGCATTGTTTGGTCATAAATTATATTCCCGCTTAGTTTTGTGGTTCTTAATAAAATAACAACTGTCTGCATTTTATACAGGTGTCCGTATTCCCTGGCACACCAAATTAGTGTAATTTCTTCAAACGGACTGCTGGGGATAGACAGTCATATGCATCCCAGACACTCAAATTTCCTTTCATTCAAATATTATCATAATATATCCCTCCCACATTAAAGCAAATGGCATTATGGGTATTGTTTTAGGCGCTCAGCAACTATATGATACTAAATGGGGACTCCTCTAGAAAAATTGGTTTGAATATGATAGTTTATATAATTGAACAACCGTATCTAGAAAAGCTACTAGGCCTATTGCATAACATAGAAGCTTCAGCTACCGCTAATATTGACAACACGTTAGTAGCATACAGTGCTGCAGAGGCTATTATGTGAGTTGTGTCACATGACAGCAGTGTCACCTTGTTGAGGAAAACTTCGTGGTCAAAATGCGGCCCGTTGATGTCGCAGGGATCCAAGGACTTCGCCTGCTCCGCGGCCTTTCCTTCCTCGTCCAGCCCGTAGTAGAGCTTCAGCATGCCGTGCACCCTGCGCTTCCTGCCGGACTCATCCGACTCCGACACCATGCCGTCCGCCTCACCGTCCATACTGTACGCTGGCCAGCTAGAAATGTACAAACGACAGTAAACAAAGATGACGAGGGCGTCCAGCTGGAAGGAGAAAACTAACAACTACTGCCTTAAAACGTTAACTTCTTGCTCCTAAGTGACTGATATTCGTGTGGCTTAGCTGTCTGCTCTTAATAAGAGGGCTTTTCCAAATAATTAATTGGAGAATGGCATATTTCTCCTGATATACAAGCAGCTAGCTTGAAAACGTCATCGTTTCCGGGTTTGTAGCCTATCCGGTGTTACGTCGTCAAAGAGTAAGTGTAGTCAAGATAATAGCCTATTGACTCACTTACGTTGACAATGTACTTCTGGTTTGACAGTGCACTACTGCGCATGTCAAGTTTTACACAGCAATCAATCGAATCACGAGAATAAATATATACGGTTTAATAAATAGATACGGATATTGATGATTTTTTTTCTAGATTGTCAGAAGTGATACTAATTCAATCAAATGTATGAACGTAATTTATTGTGTGTGCATGATGTGACAAAATATAAATGATAAAAGCTTTATTTCATTTGCATGAAAATTCAAAAACAATATTAATTAAACAATCCAGCCATATTAAGCCCATTTCTTTCCTGATGAATGTGGGGAATGGGCTACATTGTCAATGCTGCCATAAACAAAAATAAATTAATTTAGAAATGGAAGAAAAAAAAACAAAAACAAAAACAAAAAAAAAAACCACTGAAACTGTTGAAACAAGTTTAGTAGTCTGGTCTTCTCATCAATCATAAATTCCTAATGCTAAATCGTGGCTGTTATAAAACAAAGACGTATTCTTGCCTTATAAGACAAAAACCTGAGGCTGAAATGCTTACGAGGAATCAAGAAAAGAAGAAACCATACCAAAAAACACAGCTTTACAGGTTTCATTTTAAGAGAAAACAAGTTTATTTTATTATTAAATTGATTGGTCAAAGATTAAAAATCTAACAAAAGACTATATATTGCATCATGGACAATTCATTAACAGGGGAATAATATCCTCTGATTCACTTCAGGCATTTGTTATCAGTAACTATTTATAGCCAGTTAAAACATTTCTGAATTAACAGTGTTACATCACGCTTACACCCTTGCACAATATACAACCAACATCCAAATTTAACACTAGAATGCTTTTCCAAGCCCACCTAGTTGAAATGTTACCGGAGCAAGTTGTTGCTTTCATTGTAAAATAAAGAGAGGATCATAACACATGGCAATGTAAAGGGTTACAGGAGAAAGTCATTGGCTAAAGGGGAAGAAAAGACTCGGTCTACTTTTATTGACTGGCTCAATATTACCGTCTTTATAGGTTGGTGAGTCATCACTATGGGGGTGGTACAAAAGATCCAGATTGAAAACTCTGAAAATCACCTGGGCAGGTAAAGCACCACGTTCCCCTTCATTTCAGACAAGACTAAGCAACTGAACATTTTGGGCAGAAACTGAGCTTTCATCACACTTAAGGTTCACGCAGGAAAATATTTTGTGACAGAATCTGTGTTTTAAAGTGAGGTCAAGCTATCTTCAGTGCCTCAACCATGATCAGAGAATGACTCTCTCTCTCCCCATCAGGCTTACACATCAACAGCAGTTTACAGCACTTACTGCAGAACGGGTCAAAATGAATAGATTTACAAAACATATTGCCTCAATAAAAATCACACAAAGTAACAGTTTGGTTAGTTAAAGAAGTACGGCGTCAGTACATTTAGGCTGCAAGTATTAAACACACTTTAACATTTTCAGAGAAATTAGGCCCACTTTGCATCCGTTTATTTAAAAAAAGAAAAAGACATATTTGAATGAAGGCAGACTGACCACTCCATTGAAAGGAACCACAATGCACTGTTCAACAGCAGCCCAGTGATCTAGTTTATCAATACACACACACACACACACACACACACCAGCTATTGAGAATGAAATGAATGCTCTGAAAATGTGGGAAATGCATTACAAAACACAAATACTTTTCTCAAACCACCGTAATAACAAAAACTGTCCATTCTTGGTTTCCAAGCCCCAAAACAGTCATTCAGATGCCCACTCAGTACAAACAAAAAAGGCACTTTGATGCTTCTGCAAAGTGATTCCATGAGGAGATAATGCTTTCAATGACCTACGTCTTCATTTCATTGTTGTGTACACGGACACCAACGACTATTTGAAAATGAAATAAAAAATATTCTCTCATAAAAGCGAACAAACGATACAAAAACAGGTTCATAAACAGTGTGTTAGTATCAATAGTGCAGTATCACACGATGTGTAGTCTGATGTGGAATGCCTATTCTACATTGTGACATGCATAGTGTTAAGTTAGCAACAATATATTGGACGGCTGCAGTTAGGTTACAGACGGTAGCTGACGTATAACGAGTCCAAGCGTAGAAAAGTAAAAATATTCTGCAGTTTGCATGCTCAGGAGAATCAGGAAGAATAAACGACACCTCCGTATCTCAAATCAGTGGAAGGCAGATTAATAAATGGCCATTAGTGAGGTGAACTTGTTTGTTAAATGTACAGCTAAGACAGGAACTCTTTGTCTGGAGCATTACGGTAGCATACTGTAATGCAGCACGTTTGAGAGGCTTGCTTTGGTGTACAGACTGAGATTTGAACAGTGTAGACAAAAGTTCTTGGTTGGCACATAGTCTTGTCCAGTGAAGCAGATATCTTCCCTAACGGTTGAGAAAAGGGTTCTATTATTATTATTATTAAACCCCCCCCGAAAAATGCTGAAAACAGACGTCAACAACACTTTTATACAAAGACAGTTTTCGTCTTTTTTTTTTTTTTTTTCCCAAATAAGGTCAACCATGATTGTGCTTGCAAGGAAAAAAATCATTTCAAATGGCTAACCAGAACTTATAGGCTACAGTTTGAGTTTGTCAAAGTTGTTTACGAGTCAGTCAGTAAAAGTAGTGCTGATAACGGAAGAATCTTTTTTTCTTCTTCTATCGCTCGTGTTAGAAGTTGCACAAGGACTGTATTGCATCAGTTTTACTTTGCTGATCAGGTCTGACCAAGCAAGTTAAAGTCAAGTCAAGACCTGTGCGTGGATGTTACTTTTTCTAATTGGAAGTTACACTTTGAATATGAAACGCTAACCTTTCAGTGGGAGAAATAAGAGCTTGGTATGATCTCTAAATTGCTAGACGATTAATCTTACTAATTGTACTGTATGGTTTGAGTGGTTCTTGACTCTAATTTGACTATTTTATTGGTGCAAATAAATTCATGCTCCCCAATGACGACTTGAATCCCTTTTAACAAATGAAAATCCCAGCAGAATTATTTTTGTGCGATGTCCCAACTGCACTTTCTCTCCACGATAACCAGCTGCAAATATCCTCAAACATTAATTATCTCTTAAAAGCATGTACTCACAAGAAACTTCCACAACACAGAGAACGTGCTCCCATACGGACTCGCTCTGCTCAGTAACACCAACCCTTTATCCTTTCTACCAGTGCTTTTCCTAAGTGTCTTCACCCTTTGATGAGAACAAGGCACCGGCAGCTTGAAAACGCAGAATAGGGGGGAACACGCCCCTTAAGATCGTCCCCTGAAAGTGTTTGTCATGATGACGGTAAAGAGCTTGTGGTTACTCTTACAACATGTTTGTTATAAGAGTAGAAAGAGGTAATGCAGTAGTTATACTCGAATGAGGTTTAACATCGTTTTAACAGCTCCAGAGTGCTGCAGAAGGGTAAAGACCGTCATGAGATATCATACACTTGGAGTCTATAGATTTCTGTAAGGCTCGTCTCAGACACATGGAGGTCCATCATATGGTGCTCAGAGAACGCTATATTTTCTTTACGTAAGGCCATTTAATGAACAGCCACTTCAGTTCAACCTTGGAAGCATACGGGGTTAATAGATCATTTTGTTTTTCACATTACTGTACTCTCTTAATACACACACACACACAACGTCAAAAGATAAATATCGCCACTCACACTTGGATCCCTCGCTTGGTCCTTTGCATGTTCATATATTATCAGTTATGTGTCGAGTCTCTCTCTTTAAATCTCAGTGTACAGTGTTCAGGTTTGGTCTTCGAGAGGCACGGGGCAGAGCTGATGAGCGAGTTTAACCCTGCTCCAGACTCTCCGTCACCTGCACGGCGGAGTATGTGGGTGCAGACGCCTGTCGGCTGAAGAAGGACGCGGCTCTTTTCGGCTTCAAGCGTTTGATTTCCTTTCCTGGAAGACAACAATGGAGAAATAGTGAAAAACGACTACAACTGAAGTTACTACAGGGAGATTGTCTCGGTATAGAGGTAGCTCACTCTCGAACGATTATACCGCATGTAGGCTTGGGCTACAAAAGGTAACCCCTAGACTCACCATTGTCCACGTAGCTGATAGTGTTAAGTGAATGGACCCGACTGCACAGGACACTGCTTTGCCTGCGCAGCATCCCGCGGCGTCCTCCGCGTCCATTCTTGTTGCTGCCGTCCTGTCCAGCAGGCTGCTGAGACAGACTCCCCTCACCGTCCATTTCCGCTGCAGCTCCTCCCTCAGTCGCAGACCTCAGCTCCACACAGAACTCAATGAATCCGCTCATCAGCTCTGCCTGGTTGACGAAAGAAAAGGAAACGCCGATGAGCCTTTAGACGTGTATACATTATGAACGGCTGTAATACTTTTCCGATGACAAAGGGGTCAGATTACCAGCCTTGGATTAGGGCCTGGAGGCATTACTGCCTCTAGCATTATATAACATCTCTTCACCATCTGTTGTTGGTGAACGAGATCTTATGACGTTCACTCTAATCTCATCACATGATGATGTGAATTCTGAATGTCAAACATGTTCCTACCTGTTTTGAGTAGATCTTCAGCAACTTGTTGACAGGAGTGCCGTCTTCATCTCCATCGAACTCCAGCCACAGAATGTGCGAGTCCCCCTGCTCCTCGGGGTAGCTGTGGTCCCAGGAAAGCTCGTTGAATTGCAGGCCGAGCAGCACATGCTGCGAGGAAATGTGTTCCAACCGGAGAAATCAGGTTATAGTTCATGAAGAGAAACAGAAAACTGCTCTCAACGCATCTGTGGTGTGCACGGGGATTATCCAAATATGCATGCACGCGCGCGCGCACACACACACACACACACACACACACACACACACACACACACACAC